GGCCAATCGAAGGGCTCGCCGCCGGACGCGCCGGTCCCGGATGTAAGACTATACGAACCCCGCCAAACATGAAGCTATAGGTATTAAGACGACCGTCATGCGTGGCAGCCCGATCGTACTGCCAAGGTCGACCCAAAAGCAAGTGACATGCGTCCATCGGGACCACGTCACACCAAATCTCATCCCGATACTTAGGTCCAATCGAGAAAGACACCAAAGCACGCCTATCAACAGTGACTGCGTTATTCTTCTGAATCCAAGCAAGAGAATAGGGACTAGGGTGAGCAACACTCGGTAAGTGAAGTTTATCCACGGCCACCTGGGAAATCACGTTCTCGCATGAGCCGGAATCAATGATGAAACGGCACACACGATCACCAACCGTACACGTGGACTCAAAAATCTGATGCCGGCCCGCAACCTCCTCATCGAGCACCTTAGGGGCCAAACATGAACGCCGAATAACGAGACTATGACCCACATCCCCCGTAAGATGCTCCTCCACAACCTCCGGCTCCTCGTCAAAAATGGGAGGCCCGTCATAAATGTCGCCCTCCTCCGTATATAAAGCACGGGACGTGGAACCACGAGGGCATTCGGACTGCCGGTGACCCAATTCGCCGCAGCCAAAGCATCGAAGCCCGCCGGTGGGACGAGCCGCCGGTCGCTGAACGCCGTTGCCCGGACCCGCCGAATGTGCTGCGCCGCGACCCATGGCGGGGACCACCGCTGATGACCCCGCCTGCCCGGTGCCAGCCCCACGACCGCCGCCAGCCGAAACGCCATTCACAAATCCCGAGCCCCGACGGGCCTGCTGCTGTTCAATGATCAGGGCCCGCTGATGGGCGTCCGAGACAGAATCCGGCATAAATAAATTCAGAACATCCTGATATGATACACGTAATCCCCCGATATATTTGGAAATCAGCTGGTCCTCCGTTTCACGTGCATCAATCCGGGTCAGGAGACGATAAAACTCCTCCGTGTATTCGTTAACAGATCTAGGCCCCTGACGTAAATTTTGAAATTTTTGGTAAAGAGTACGCGTGAAATTAAACGGGAGAAACTCACGCTCCATATGTTTCCGGAACTTGGCCCAAGAAGTGATCTGAGGCTTGCCCATGCGATGCCGCCGACCCTTAAGTTGATTATACCACGCAGCCGCGTGGTCACGTAACCTGGTAGCGATAAATGCAACACGACGATCCTCCGGCACCTCCTTGAAATCTAAGATCGACTCAACCGCAGCGATCCAGTCGAGAAACCCGCTGGCGTCGAGCCCGCCCGAGAACTCTGGCACCTCCACCCGGAAACCCGCCTCCCAGCGACTGTCACCACCCCCCCGGCGGTGGCCGTTGAGATCGGCGTCCTCCTCAGGCCCGTAGAGATCGGACCGCTCGCCAACAGAAGCATCCCGCCGCCTCCTCGGACCGCCGAAAGGGTTGACGTCCGAGGCGGTACGACCGCTGTCCGTACTCCGGCCGCGCGACGAGCGTGGGGACGGCGAACGGGGAAACCCGAACGGCCCCCTCCCACCACGGCCGCCGCGTGTTCCGCCGCGATTACCCCGGCCGCGGGCATCGCGTCTCGTGTCCTCGTCCGCCATCAAGTGGCGCATGGCATGTCGGATTTCCTCGATCCCCTCAGCAAGACCTTCGACACGGCGATCCACCCGGTCGATTTGGAACCCTAGATCGTCGGTTCGACGATCCAAATCTTCGAGATGGGCATCCCGTCTATCGTTGTCTCGTTTTGGCGGCATCTTGAATCGTCCCGACAGCTGATACCAACTGATGCAGCAACGTGGTAGACGAAAGGAATATAAGAGAAAACTCAAGAGTTCTTAATTTTATTCAATGTTCATCGATCAAACTTCATAAGAGAGGGACAATATATAGAGTCCTATGAAAGAGAATCCTAATTCTAATTATCTTGTGCAACAAGATAATTATCTTATTTATTCCTAAATAATAAAACACTCCTAAGGAAATAAAATATCTCTTACTAAATAATAATAGGAAATATAATATGTAGAATAATCTAGATGCGTAGACGGTCGAATTTGTCGAGAAAGGCTAGGGCAGTCTCGTCTTCATCAGATCGCAATTTAAACTTTATATATGTGTTATGTGGATGGGAAGGTTCAGCAGCAGATTGTCGGGTGCTCCGTGATGCTGTCAGTAGGCCAAATGGATTAAGGATTCCCCAAGGTATTCATTTATGTTGTGTGCATTTGACTATATAAAAATATCCCTACCATTGTTAGTAATATTTATGCACATAAATTTTTTTATTAGCACATGCTATGGCTACAGGGTATTATTATCTGTGTGACAATGGATACACAAATGGAGAAGGATTTTTAACACCGTATAAAGGAGTCCGTTACCATTTGAAAGAATGGCAACATGGTAGTGGTATACCTCAGACGAGCGAGGAGTTTTTCAACATGACCCACTCTAAGGCACGAAATGTTATTGAAAGGAGTTTTGGAATATTAAAGAAAAGATGGGCCATCCTCCATAGTCAGAGTTTTTACAGTATTAAGATACAAAACAGGTTGATCATGGCTTGTGTGTTGCTGCATAATTTCATCCGGAGAGAGATGACTGTTGACCCAATGGAAGTAGGTGAAGACGAAGACGAATCCGATGGGAGTGATGACAATGTTGATACTGTTTTCATTGACACTGTGGAGACTTCTGAAGCGTGGTCTCAAATGCGAGACCAAATGGCACAGTCAATGTTCAATGAATGGAGATGTATTTAGAATTATTAATTAGCCTACGCTTGTATTGTACTGTTGACTATGTTCTTCCCTCTACTTGATATACTTTTTCAAACCTGAGTGGGTTGTTTGTGTTGGGTTCGATAGTACCGTACGGGCTTTAAGCAGCGGAATTTAAAATTTTTCAAAGTAAGTATTTATCGAATAAATACAACACCCGTACATACTAATTGCGAATTAACTGATCGTTATCTTTAAAAAACATGCATCACATACAAATTTTGATTTGTTATAATAAAGTAAATACAAATACAAATAAATAGTATTTACCGAGTAGTTCTTGAACTCCTTCAATTTAACCGAAGTGGATTGTGGGAATCGGTTCCCGGTTTGTAACGTCAACAGATTGAGGTTACTCGCTTGAGGAATCCAAGTGTCTTCCCTCTAATCGTATCCACCCTATGAAGCCCGGTTCCGACTACCTTCCTTCGCTAGTAGGAATGTCTCGGTTTTCTCGTATAGGAATATATATATATATATATATATATAATTTGGGAATTTCCAAGAACACTTTCTTGAAATATATGAAGAACACTTTCTTCTCTCTTTGAATTTCTCACAAAATCACTTAGCATAATTTGCAAACATTTTGCATCTATTTATACTAAACATTTTAGCATAAAATAATCAATATTTAGTAATATTAAATAAAATCTGATTTTATTTAAAAATCATATTACTAACTATTGACTTTATATATAATAAACAATGTTAAGTAGTTCAAACAACCATCTAACCACCATTTATTATATTCATTTTATTATTTTAATCCTTAAATCATATTTAAAGATAAAAATAATAATATAATAATAAATCTTGAGAATCTATTCCAAGACTTTATTATTATATTCATTTCCCAATTTTCATCCATATTATAATAATCATATTATTATTATTTTGGATTTGAAATTTAAAATCCTATTTTAAAATTCAACTTTATTAATTTAGTAATTACTTTAATTACTAAAGTAATATCCAAAATGTAATTAATCAATCTTATTGATTAATATATTCCTTTAATTGACATCTAATCAAATTAGATATTTATCAATTAATTCTAACCATTAGAAATACAATCTTTACCTTTGTTCATAATTAGTGTGACCTTTTAGGTTCACTATTAATACTAGTAGTGGGTTTACAACACTTTGTAATTTGAGTTAAATCTTATTAACTCTTATTCAAGAATTAACCCCTTAATTCATGAACCCACATATCATGGTAACACCTAGCAAGTATCATGAATCTAGTATTAAGTGAATAGCGAGTAAACCTATTCCGATTACAACTCCATACATGTAAAATCCTTTCGACATCTAATTTCCCGATTAAGTCTTGGGTATGATTTTGTCGAAACCCAAATTGACTTAATAACTATGATTCTATTTCATGTTTATTAACCCGGTTATGAATCACTATTCATCTCTGCCTTGGCCAAGGACTTTGGATTAATAACTATGAAACACATAGGAAATTCACTTATCTTCATAAGTGTCGAATCCTTTATTGGCCACTAACAAACTTCCATACATATTAACATAATACCCAACTTATCCCTTTAAACGATAGTGCTAGCTACCAAAAGGATAAATCAAAGTAGAATGTAATATGCACAAAGTTACCATTGTGCCTCAAGTCTTAGGATTAGTCATGTACTATTGTAACATGAAAATTCTTATTCGACTGAATAAATTCTTCATTAAGAATTTTCATACGGTCATGTTCAGTGAACTTGTTCTCTAACAAGCACCCACATAAATGTACTTACGTCTTACGCTAATGTTGATGGAATGCAACATTCTTGTCCAACAAGCATACAAACTATGTGCAAGTCTTTTATGGATTATTCGATATCCCATCTCGAAACATCCATCGACTTGGAACTGTATTTAAGATCACGGCTTTCAAGGTATGTTCCATGATCACCATCTCTATGCGCAACCATACCTTATAACCATAAGTGATCTAGGGATTTTATCTTAAGTGCAATTATAAGATAAATGCTTTCTCTTAAGATAAAGAAATGCCTTATTCATAATATAATTCCAATAGACTGTATTTACAAGTAGAATACGTCCAATTAGATTGAAACGCCGGGTACCCTACTCTAACAGTTTGTTGTTAATGAGATTGTTTGGTTTTTACAGTTAAATGACCCCTATGCCATAACTTTATTCATTTTCCTACTTTTTGAATACATCAGCTCAACAAAATGGAACGGACAGATCAGAACATTCGCAATACTCGGAGGCGCAGAGCTGACAAAGGCAGGAGAAGTTGGAGTAAGCACGAGGAGGAAATTCTTATTGTTGCATTGAAAGAGGTTGTTGCAAATGGTTGGAAGTCAGAAAATGGCTTCAAAACAGGGTTTCTACAGGTTTTAGAGCAAGAGTTGGCTAAAAAATTACCAGGTACCGATTTGAAAGGACTTCCCCACATCAACTCCAAGATCCATGTCTGGAAGAAGGATTACAGTAGCCTCCTGTTCATGCTCTCTAGGACGGGCATGGGATGGAATGACTCGACTAAAATGGTTGAAGCAAGTGATGAGGCATGGGCATCATGTGTAAAGGTATGCTCTTGTATGATAGCATATTTATGTGTCAATGAAATGTGTTTATCATACATTTTTTATGAAACAACCAAGTTTTGATGTCAACTTATATATTTCTGAAAAAGGTTGATCCAAATGCTCGATTAATGAGGTATAAGAGCTGGCCGTACTATCCCGATTGGGTAAATATCTTTGGGAAAGACAGGGCAACTGGGGAGCATGCGGAGGATATAGGCAATGCTGCAAGTCAACCATTTCATGATGCAACGGGTGTGTTACCTGATTTTGTTAAAGCGGAAGCGGAAGCAGATTTGGGTGGAGATGATCCTGACTGGATGACGTCGGAATCAGAAAGTCGTGCACAAGGTTCTACTTCTTCTAGGAAAAGTAAAGGATCAAAAAGAAAGTCCACACAAGCAAATGAAGATATGACCTCCGTGTTCCGCAACTTCTGCTCTGAGACTGGGGTACGTTTACGTGAGATTGCGCAGAAAATAGGTTACGAATATGATGTCTCTGCTGCTCGGAAAGAGGTGTATTATGAAGTGGGGAAAATCCTCGGCTTAAACATGCAAGAGAAGTTGGTGGTATGTAAGTTGCTTGTCTGAAATACTGAGGACTTGGAACTATTCTTCAGCTTACCGGACGATGCAAAAGCAGAATTTGCACGAATGAAGCTATCTGGTAGTATTTAGGGGCTACAATTCCGCTTCTTCACATGCGGTGTAATTTTTTTTTGTGGGTTGCAGCTACCTATATTTAAAACTGCTTATTTTGATCATATTTTGAACATGGTTGGTTTTGTTGGGCATAGCTTGATCATATTTTGATCGTAAGCAACAAACTTATCTATTGTCATTTTGTTATGTAGTTGCTTGTCATGGATATTTTTTTGGTTAAGGCATTATAATGGTCATTTTGTTATGTTTGCTTACTAAACTTCGACAATTCAATTTGCTTACTAAACTTCGACATGTTTAATTGTCGAAATCAGTTATTTGTTTCGATGAGACTTACCTATACGCATGTAACTGTGAGCATATGAAGTCAAATAGGACATGGATATGAAATACGAATATGACATAACTTGGTTTTCGGCCTGTATTCTTTTGGGCCTTTGGTCTGGGCCCCTTTCTCTTTAATAATGACAATTATTAATACCCAATCTCAAGTTTTAGTAGACAAGGCCCAACACTACTATTAATTAAGCCCTAAAATCAAGCTTTATGAACAAATAAAATGAGGTTTTAGTTGTGACGACCAAATAATCAAATCACGCAGCCCTCTCAGATACTCGTCTCCCACTCTCACGGAGGTATCTGCACGACCGGCGGCAGGCGCTCGCTTCTTCACCAGACTCCAGTCAGATCTGACTCTTTCACTCTCTTCCTGTTTTCTTTTCTATTTCGATTTCTTTCCTAATAATAACCCTAATTTTGTATTCTGCTTAATTTTTAGGGAATTTATATGTGGGTTGTTCGTTACTGTGCGTTTTTTGCATGTACACTATTGGTAACATCTGTTATTTCGAGGGTTGATCTTTCATTTCGCTTGTTCATCAGTGTGCGTGTTTTGCATGTACACTATTGCTTCTGAAGTTGTGACATAAAATTAATCGGTTTGGGGAAAAAAGACAATCCTGTAAAGTTAATCTACTTTACCCGAAGATTGAAATTGCGTAAAAAACACATGTTGTGAATTGACTTTTGGTCTACACTGGAATGAGATGTTGTTTTGAATTCACAACTTATTTATTAGTTGTCTGGCTTGTACACAAATACAACGTGTTTTTCTTAGGTGTTCTGTCATGGCTGGCGACTGGACAAGATTTTTTAAGATCATTATTGACACACAAATGACCTCCCTGGTACGAGGTTCTTTCTCAATACCATAGCATGTTAGATTATAATTCGTAATAGGTTTTTCGGTGTTCATTATATTCATCACGGTTTTAAACTTACTTTACTTAGTCTCTCCCACCTGCAATTTGCGAATATCATGAGTCCGAGCTTCCAAAGAAATGTATAATCGAGACTAGAGAAGGACGTGAGTATGAAGTGATGATGAAAATGGTGGATAATGACCCGACCTTGGTTGATGGATGGGATACTTACATTCAACAAGAATACATTGAACTACATAACATTCTGTTTTTCAAACGAAAGAGCAAGTTCCGTTTTGACGTTATGGTGACGGACAAAACAGGGTTAGAGAGACCGCCAATACACCACTTTTGTTTGGACATAAAAAAATCTCACATTGAGCGGGCTCGCTTGGTAAGTTTACACTTGAGCTGAAGTTTTTATTTATTCAAATAAATACTATTTCATATATATTATTCATCCAATAACTTGCAATGAAACAAGCAGCCAATTCCAATGCCGTTTTGGAGAGACCACATCAAGGATAACTATGACAACTACACTACGGCGGTCCTCATCTTCGATAATAAGGTTTATGAAGTGGATGTAATTCATGGCAATGGGAAGAAATTGTTGCAATACCGTGGAGCTCGTAAGTTTGTGACTGACAGTGGTATTGTCGTTGGTTCTTCATGCATGTTCACACATGTCGGACCTCACAACCAGGATGATGTGATCACGTTCAGGGTTAAGATTTAAGAAAATTGTAACAGTTGCTTCAATTTAGGCCATCACAAGCTTATGTTCTTTTTGTTCTTCTCGTGGGTGGTCTGTTTATTGAAGTGTAATTCTGCTAGATACATTATCCATTATCCTTTTGTTTGGCTGGTAGCGTACATTTTTGTAAGTTCAAAAAAGATGATTAAAAGATGTAGGAATCTTCTGAATGTTGTGGTCGGAGACTTCTCATATTGACTTAATTAATTCAAGTTGTGTGGCTCTTCTTTGCTTTTAATTCAAGTTGTAATGGGAAACACAATGTAACACATGACCAATGCAAGATATAACTTTATAAAAGAACATGCACGCACAACACATTGACAAAGCAAACATACACAAACTGATGACACTAAAATTATGCTTCATTATTAAGTACTTAAATCATAATCCACAGAACACAACATAAGAGAAAAAGGATTTCAACAAAGCAGAACAACAACGACACTACAAAGAAACATTCGATACTTGTACAGTTGTACCGACTCGACACAGAATGCATGGAATAACGACCTAACTGTTAGGGGAGCGTGGCTCATGGACCCTACAAGAGCGAAGCATGAATACAAAGGACATTTGAAATTACTCTCATCACTTGTTAGGGGTAGAGCTGGAAGCTACGGATGAGTGTATGTTCTCCCCGTCAGTTGGCTTACTTGAGTAATTGTATGTGGCCCAATGCTTGTTCATCTTACTCATTATCTCTTCGGTGGACGACAAAATGGATGGCGGGTTTTCTGGATCAAGAGCCGAGGTCACACTGATACTCTCCGAGCCGTACCAAGCTACCTCATTCCAAAATGAGTTGTTGGTGTTGGTGGAGTCATTTTCATGAACGATTTCCCATCCATCCCTCGCATCATGAACATTGTCGTCACCGTTTGCGGCTTGCTCATTGTGAATTACTACAACATCATCGTCATCATCTGGTCCATCATCTTGTGTTAGCACGTCGCTCAAGTTGATAACTTCATGGACAGAGTCATCGCTAATGGTGTCGTCACCCTCGTGGAACAAAGCTTTGAGACCATCGTAAGCACTCTCGCCTTCTCTCATGTAGGCCATTGCAAGCTTCTTCTCCTACCAATTCATTGATAAATGAGTAAATAAACTTACTAGAAAAGATTAATATACAAAATAACATGCATGATGAACAAAGCCATTTAAACAAAATACCCGGACAATATATTCCCATAGGTCTTGGGAAGTAGAAACAGAGTGATTAAATGGGTTGTACACCACGCCAGAGAGGTGGATCATCCAGTGGAATACATTGTAACGCTTGCGCAGCTTCTTCACGCGATCAATAGCATCTGAGTAGGTGAAGTTTGTTCCCATGGCACTGTTAAGATCAGTGAGGGCACAAAAGATGGCGTGAAAGTTTTGTTGTCTGGAATCGAAGTTGCCTTCCCTCTTTTGCTCGACAAGGTACTGGATGAACGTGTTGTCAACGGACTTTGTCCACTTCTTAGTATAAAACACTTTGGACTGACCCATTGCACCCTTGGGTCCCTTGTTACTGCTACGTTTTCCACGAAGGGAGGAAAACATCTTTTTTTAGTCTTTTTCGATTTGTATTTTTTATGGTTTGTGGCTAGATTGTTAAGTAACGCTTTTCACCTTTTATAAGAAAAAAACTGAATGCTTTGCGGACGTTATTAGGGGCTGCCAAGATTCTCTGTATGATATGATATAAGATTCCATAAGGAAATTGTTATTGGTTGTCCTATTTGATGTGTGGGAATATATTCTCTGCAAAGTACAAAGCATCATGCTTTTCCTCTTTTTTTAGGTTAACAAGACGGTAGAAAAGTGGGATACGAATCTAGTGGATTGACAACACCGTCAACTTGTTCAAATTAGAGGAGGCGAGATTCATAGGTTCTATTATAATAAAAGGTATGGACAATACATATCACCTAATATGTTCGGGTTGGTGAGCAGCTCTCTTGTATTAGGACATGTCTCAGGGCTCAACAACGAACCACGGCATTGAAAATTCTTCGCGGAGCAACACTGCTTTCGAAGGATGGAAACCGAAGTGTGGCCATTTAGAGGAGGCGGAATTGCTGACGTCCAACACCGATAAAAACCCATGTAGGCGCTATTACCGATGCAAAAAGCGATACGTAAGCCTCTTGAGTACGAAAAATCGTGTTCTTGGTTATAGTCCATATCAATATTGTATTTTATTTTTTTTCTTGCAGGTAGATGATTGTAAATTTTTCCAATGGTTTGATGAAGAGATGTCACCATTTCAGAAAAATTGTTATTTGAAGCTTAAGCGTGAAAAATCCTTGTTGGAGGAGCAAATGAGAAACAAGGACGAGATGATGCAAGGTGTAATGGAAAAACTAAAAAAGAAGAGAATGAAACTGAATGAATTACGAGCCAAACATAACGACCTTCAACAGCAACTTTTGTCATTTCATATCGGGGAAAGTAATAACAACAATGGTGTTAAGTGTGTGCTTGTGTGTTTGGTTTTAGTCGTACTTTCTGTTTTTTGGCTTTTGCATATTTAATGATATGTAATAACAGGAATGTTGTTAAGTGTGCTTGTGTGTTTGGGTTTAGTCTCACTTCTGGCTTTTCACTCATGTGGTTTGGTAGGTGTTGGAGTGCTTATTTTGGTGTTATAATTGAAGGCTTCTTTGCTTTGCTATGGGTGCTTTGCTATGGTTGTTAGTATAACCGAAGGCTTCGTTGCTTTGCTATGGTTGTGTATAACTGAAGGCTACGTTTGAAGGAAAAAAAAATAAACAAACAACCATATAGACAATGGGTTTCCCTTTTCACATTCTGTAAACCTTCAAACTCCATCAGACATAGTACAGACAATGCAATGCATTAAAACCCCCCAAAAAATAAAGACAAAGTAACACCAGGGGAAACATTTCACAAAACATGATTTCAAAACCAAAAGTTACCATTATCATGAATATCCAACTAAAAGTCTGTACATGAGACCCCCTATTAAAAAGCATGCATATCACCAACCTTAACTACTACATTCCATGTCCATTCTTCTTTGGAATGAATTTCAAAAACAAAAGAGAAAACACAAATCTAGGAGTAATAACTAGGTGTTTCTCTGAGAAACATCTTCCTTTTGATTTTAAACTTCGGCGTCTTCAGTGTAAACACAATCGGCGCAGCATTCTTCACATGGAACAATAGGTGCGCTGTTGCAAAGTGTTTCATGCCGTAGGTTCTGAAAAATCTACTTTCTTTGCTCTCCTGCAAAACACAGCACAAAGAACATTAAAGACCAATAACAAATGAATCTATCTGTAATAAGAAAAGTCTCAACAACGCCAAAAATACTTCACCTTTGTAATTGTTTTCCAGTAGAGTCCGTCCACATATGCTCTATCTTCGTCTGCCTTGTGATAGACACCAGGGTGTTGTTTCCACTCCACGAACAAGTTATATTGATCTTTAAATTTATGAACTCTTTCTTTCACCATGGGAATCGTGAAATTTTTCTTGAATTTATCAATTAAGTTTCCTGTTATTAGCCAAAGATACGTGTCAAACACCCCAATGTTGCTGACACATACATTATAAACTGCATGTTGGAGCTGTTCAAATAAGAATCCCTCCTCTTCCTCATTCCAACCGTCTGTTCTGAACAATTTTGAATGACCTCGTTGCGCGTCGGAGGTTTGTTGGCAGCCATTCTCAAAGTCTCCCTAAACCCTAAACCAAGGAAGTCCCAAAATTTGAGTGCTGAAAAGTCCCAAAATTTCATCGAGTTCAATTCAACAGTTATTTTCAGTGCACACTGGAATTGTAATTACACAGACAAAGAATACATAAAACCCACAAAATGGGGCTTTTCAGCAGTAGCTCCATCTTTCAAACAATGAGTCAAACACTTTGCATTCGTTGCATTCGCAACAGTCCAAACAACATAAATCAGAAAAATCAATTAGAAGAAAAGCGACGTTCTTAGGCAGTAATACAAAACGATCTATGCTTACGTTTGCATACGAATTTACAAGGTCCAACATTTAGAACTTTGAGAATTAAATAGGTAACAAATCATGAATACACAATAGAGTGGACTGAAATCAACAATTGAACATAGATAAGCTCACCTGAATGGGACTTGGTTGGTGCACAGACTTCTCTCCCGTCAATCGCCGGATGAGACGAAAAAGAATCGTGGGTATTGTCTGCCCTTCCTTGCAAAATGTACAACGCACAGTGTTGGGTATCCAAGGAACGCTGAAGAGAAAAAATCGACGAAGAAGGGTCGGAGGAGAAGGGTTTGTAATTCAGATCTGATCTCACTTTTTTTTTAATCGTTGTGTTTTTTTGGGCCAAGGGTAACATTGGAAATGTAAGGATTTTTTTTTGTTTACAAATGTTGAAAGTGGTCATTGGATGCCAACCAAATGGGTTAATAACATAATGAGGCCCTTATCAAACCACCTAATACACAAACCAAACAATTTACAAGATACAAATTATCACCTGGGGCCCGCCTTACTTGATTACATCAAGCCCAATCAATCACCCCAACCAATCAAGCCCATAGTATATAGTATATAGTATATACTATATACTATATAGCATATAAGATATAAGATATAAGATATAAAGTATAAACTATAAGATATAAATTATAAACTATAACATATAAGATATAAGATATAAAGTATAAGATATAAACTATAAACTATAAACTATAAGATATAAACTATAAAATATAAACTATAAACTATAAACTATAACATATAAGATATAAGATATAAAGTATAAGATATAAACTACAAACTATAAACTATAAGATATAAACTATAAACTATAAGATATAAACTATAAACTATAACATATAAGATATAAGATATAAACTATAAGATATAAACTATAAGATATAAACTATATAGTATATATTATATACTATATGTTATATACTATCTATTATATACTACATGTTATATACTATATATTATATACTATATGTTATATACTATATGTTATATACTATATGTTATACACTATATGTTATATACTATATATTTTATACTATATACTACATACTATATGTTATATACTATATGCTATATACTATATATAATATATACTATATGTTATATGTTATATACTATATAGTATATAAGATAAAAACTATACACTATAACATATATGTTATATAACCATTTAAAACCTGTTACAAATATTAAGAACAACCAACTATACCAAATACACAATCAAATCAACTCATTTACAGTCCAACATAACAAAAATATTTCATCCAAACATAGTCCAACAAATCAAAGTAAACAATAAAAAAAAATAGTCCAATATAAAAAAAATAAACACTAACAAATCTAGTTTCCCCACTCATCACGGAGTCTAGATCTATCAGTGCGAGGATGCGAGAACGGACAGTCATCCACAAAATGCTGTGGATTACCACATCTACTACACTGTCCTCTATCATTCCGGCGGCGTGCCCGACAATCCATTTACATGCGATGACGCTTCGTTTGCGCGCGATCGGGTCCAACCTTCGTGATGATCCTCTCCCAATGTGGTAGTAAGTTCCATCCGACCAGCGGCCATGTGTCCGGATCACCAATCGGAGCAAAACTCCAATTAAAAAATTGAGCCACCCAGTTCTCCGTCCAAAAGTGGGGATCGAACAAGAACTTTGGTTGAGCTTTTATTTCACGACACACAGCTATAGCATGAGAGCATGGTTTCCTGTGTGTCTGCCACTTCAGACAACTACAACGCATCCGGTCGTACGAAACCTTATACCCGTTTTTCCACATTTAATTATATTTATAAACAACTAAAAATTTTAATGAACCAAAATAAAAAAATAAAAATTATACAATAATAAATAAACCATATACCTTTTGTCCCCTCTACCATCAGCCCGTAAACCGGTTGTCACCTTGAACAGGGATCTCTCCGCGTTCGAACATCGCACCTTATGAGTTGCGGTCGTAGTCTCCAATTCGCAATAAGCAGCATAGTGGGCACTAGCAATGGCATTACTGCAACTCGTGGACTTGGTTTTGTTCCTGCTCAAACAAGTCCATAGTTTTCATGAATGTGGCGTGTACCAAAGCTCGGCAGGGCAAGAACCTAACACCTTTCAGGACGTTGTTGTAACTCTCGGACATGTTGGTAGTCAAAGTACCCCATCTACGTCCTCCGTCTCCAAACAGGGTCCACTTGTCCAGAGGAATTATGAACAGGTAATCGTATGTGTCCGGATTAAAATTCGAAAGCCGCGATCGAATCTGTTCAAATTTTTTCTCTGAAACCTGTGAACCCAACTCCCAACACCAATTTCGGATTTTGTTATTCCTGAACCTAGTAACGACGTTGCTCCGAAGGTGTCGAAGACAAATCCGGTGATATGCAGCGGGTTCTTGCCAAGCTTGCAACGATTCCATGGCACTCTGTAAGCCTGCATCCCTGTTCGAAAGAGAGCATATCTGTCTGTCGCCGACATCATGTTGTCGGAGATTTGTTAGGAAAAATGACCAGCTTTTCTGGCTCTCTTCATCCACAATTGCATAGGCGATTGGCAATAGCCGCTTATTCGCAGTCTGTGCAACGGCCACAAGCAACTTCCCCTTGTACGAGCCACACAAATGTGTGCCGTCCATGCTAATTACCGGCGGGCATCTCTGAAAGGTCTGGATGGCGGGACCAAACGCCCAGAAAACAAATTTGAATTCTCTGTGCTGATAGTAGGCCGCCATTTCTCCACCTTGCCATTCCCACTCTACAACCGTAGTGGGATTCGCTCTTTGAAGCGCCGCAAAAAACCTGTACGTTACAAAACGTAATCGTCAATACATAAACATAGTGACAAATAACACGTACATTTTTAATAATTTTTTTCTTACTGAGGGAGTTGTGCGAAGTTCGATTCCCAAGTGCCATACAAACGATCGATGGCCTTTTTCCTCCCGTGCCATGCCTTCTTGTAACTCACATCGACTTTCCAACATTTTTTAACATCCTCCTGGATCAGGGTAACACTGTAGTCAGATTTCTTTTAAATCTTGGTCATGACAAGATTTGAGAACATTGTGGCGTTTACATTTCTGTGGTCATTTTTTTCGACTTCTTGCATACAACTGTGCCTCTCAGTCCATTCTCTTACTTCCCACAATTCATGAACCCGTGTGCAGTGCGTCACCCGAGCCATCCACGGACAAGGTTCATCTTCGTTAGATGTGCACACCACCTTGAATGTTTTCTTATTCGAATAGGTTGTCTTAACCTCCCTCAACCTACTAATGTTCCAACTCATGATACCCAGCTGTGCTTCTTCCTTGGATCGAAAAACAGTACCCAAACGGATAGTCTCGACATGCCCATCCCACACTGGCAAGGCATACTCATCACGGTCTACACACGACGGGTCCCACTCACCCATCTCGCGATACACGTGCTGACCGCTACTAGGAATGGGTGTTCTTCAATAAATTCTGGTTCACTCTCCTCGTTTATTAATCTATCTGTTTCCGTTTCCGAGGTATCATCTGTGAAATCGTCTTCACCACGAACGAAATCATCATCACCCTCATTATCGCATTCTCTAACTGTTGAGCTTGTCCTTTCGCCAAAATTACGAACATGCTAAGTGGACGTACCCTCAACATCAGCCACTCCCCCATAAAAAGGGGCAACATCCTCAAACTGCGTAACCTCTGTAGGTGCCTGCGTAACCTGCTTCAACTCTAAATGCAAATACACATAGGAGAAAGGAGTGAAATAATATATCCACTCAAGAGCACTATCAGTATTCAGGTTTCCAATATTCCACGAACCATCACGTTGGTTAGTTAGTAAACAAATCTCCTCAATTATCCAAGCATCTCGATGAAACCCAAAATTTTCATAAAGAATATCTACCAATTGTTTAAATGATATCTTCTCCCCAATGCTAAATGAACCATCCGGAGAGCTTTTAAAATCTGAAAAATCATATAACAACTGCTTGGGAAAATTCCAATACACATTAACAAAGTATGGTCCGGTAGACGCCATTTATACCTGTTGCAAAAAACAATTCTTCTCAATTACAACAACACATACTTTCTAACCCAACACCCAAAAAATTCAATTATTCTTTTATCATTCCTACAACAAAAAAATAAAATTCATCAATAACATATAAACACTTTCAATTCTTCCCAATTACAACATCACATAATTTCCCAAAAAATTCAATTATTCTCTTACTCAATTCAAGATAAATATTTCCAATTAATACTACAATAACAAAAAAAATCGAATGTTCTTTTATAAAATAACTCTCCAAAACCCTAATTCTCATAATCCAACAATACAATACAAATCATCCAATTTTCGCAAAAATTCTCAACATACACCAAAACCCATCATCCAAGAACAATGTATAATCATTTAACACAACTATTAAATCAACAATAAATTTTTTCTAAACTATACTCATCAAAACCAACAAATATTTCTTACAAATTCATAAACAAAAAAAAAAAATATGTAATTACATTACATTAAAATAACAACTAACCTCTTCTCCGAATCGATTGATTGTTAAAAGCTTTTTTTTTTATTTTTTATTTTGAGGTGAATAGAAAATGGAAGGAAGTAATTTTTTTTTTGCTCGCAGTTTCAGTGAATCTCGCAGAATGGTGGAGGAGAAGATTTTTTTTACTTATATTTTGTTAAAAACCGTATTTTGTAAATACGTTTTTAATTTTTTATTATAATAAAAAACGTATTTCCTTTTCGTTTTATTTTAATTTAAATTTTTGTTAAAAATTAATTAATATTAAAAACCGTATTAATGAAATACGGTTTATAAAACAAAATTTGATTTTTTTTATAAAATAAAAATTGATTTATTTAGGCTTTAGGGTTTCAAATTTAAATTTGGGGTTTTCATAAAAACGTATTTTAGAAATACGGTTTATAAATAAAATTAGATATACATTTTCCGACAATATGTTTTTAAAAAAAGTAAACAAATTTAATTTAAGGACGTATTCGAAGAATACGTTTTTCATTAAAAAAAAATTAAGAAAACGTATTTGCTAAATACGTGCTTTCTATTTTGGGCTTCCCACTTTTTTTTTCTTTTTTGNACCCAATAATTGTATCCCAAGTTCCTCAATTTGTGTGGTCACAACTCACAACTCACATGGTACTCTAATAAATGTACCCCAACTCCCAAGTCCATTTGTGTGGTCACAAATCCGTACACCAAGAAGAAGTAAATTGCTGCACCTTTGTTTTTTCTTTTCTTCCCTAACCCACCAAAAATGTTGAGCATTTTATTTTCATCTTCCAATCAACCATGGCGCTCCTACATTCACAGCCATTTCTCCCACAAAAGACTCGTACCTCGTTTCAGTTTAACCAAACACATCGTAAACCAAGGACCCTATTTTCCGCCTTAAAACTCATAAACCCTTCTCGTCAATTGCGGAAAAACTGTCGGAAATTGAGCGCAGTTGCTCAGGAAAGTTCCACCGTCGGAGGCGATGAGAGCGTGATTGAAGAAGAGGTGATCGGACAAAAGGAAGTGGTGGACTATGATTGGACTGAAGAATGGTACCCGCTTTATCTGACCAAGAATGTGCCGGATGATGCGCCTCTTGGCCTCACCGTCTTTGATAAACAGATCGTTTTGTACAGAGATGGCAATGGCGAGCTTAGGTGTTATGAAGATCGATGCCCACACAGGTGACTGTTATTGTTATTACTTCCTTCATAGTTTCCTGAATAAAAAACGATGACGATGGGTTTTGTTTGGTTACAGTATCGATGAGTAAATTACATTTGTTGCTTCAAGTAAGATATTATTTTGCAAGTTTTTGGTATTTGAGGTGGGATGCACTAAATTTTATTTCTTTGATCTTGACGGTCTTAACTGAATTGGCATTTTGTGCTAAAATTGACAGCACGGTTCTATCATTTCACGAATTTTTATTAAGTAGAATGAGTAACAGATAAAAGGTGGGTTTTTGGTGTGTTCCCTGTGTACTTCTGTTGGAGCTTGTGCTTATGTATCCTATTCTTGCAACTTTTTCTGTACAAGAGAATGATTGTGCATCAATTCGTGACTTATCTGGCCTTACGGCTTCTTGTTTGTAGGTTCTTTCTGCACTTATGTTAATCACTTAATTGCTATACAAGTAGCGGCATTACGTGTAGTTACATACACTATTACACGACTCTTGAGATCGAGATATAAGTTCAGAATTTTTTAACGTTTTTATGTGGCGAAATAATAATTTGTGAATGCTATGCAATTTTACTTGGTAGGAACTAGTTTTCTTTGTCCAAAGCCTAATGGTAATTTCTGTACAGGCTTGCAAAACTTTCCGAAGGACAATTGATCGATGGTAGATTGGAATGTTTGTACCACGGTTGGCAATTCGAAGGAACTGGTAAATGCGTTAAAATCCCCCAGGTCAGTACAATCCCTGTATTCAGAAAATTCAATATTCCAAATTTCTCCTCAGCGTACCCATTTCTCGGCACAGCTTTCATCAGGCGCCAAAATCCCGAAATCGGCCTGCGTCAAAACATACGAAATCAAAGATTCACAAGGTGTCGTTTGGATCTGGATGTCCCACAAGGCCCCACCAAATCCCGACAAATTACCCTTCTTCGAAAACTTTGACCGTTCAAATTTTCGTGATATCTCGACCACTCACGAGCTCCCTTACGATCACTCCATCCTCTTAGAGAACCTAATGGACCCGGCCCACATCCCCATCTCACATGATCGAACGGACACAACTGCAAAGCGTGAGGACGCGGGCCCACTATTCTTCGAGGTCACCGAAAGAACAAATCGAGGCTTCGCGGGCCTCTGGGGCCCAGAGAAGAATCGGTCAAACCCAAATTACGTTTCATCTTCTTTGAGATTTGATGCACCTTGTGTTCTTCAGAACAATCGTGAAATCACGGGCCAAGATGGTAAAAAAATCTACTTTTCGGGCCTTTTCCTCTGCCGGCCCGCGGGCCAGGGGAAGTCGATGCTTATAGTCCGGTTTGGAAGCACCGGAAAACCGCCCTTGATATTGAAACTGTTCCCACAGTGGTATTGGCACCAGAATGCGAGCAAGGTTTTCGAACAAGATATGGGTTTCCTCTCTTCTCAAAACGAAATTCTAATGAAAGAGAAAGTGCCTACTAGGGAACTTTACATTAACTTGAAATCATCAGACACGTGGGTGGCCGAGTACCGGAAATGGATGGATAAAGTCGGGCACGGGATGCCTTACTATTTTGGGCACAGCACAATTTCCCTTCCGGAAAGTCCAGCTGTCGTCGAGCATGCGCCAGCTGGATTCTTGGCGAATCTCTCGGCTTCTCAGCCGGCCAAGGGTGGAATCGGAACAATTCATGCGCCGAACCTCGCGAATAGGTATTTTCGGCACGTGGTTCATTGTAAGGAGTGTACGAGTGTTTTGAAGACGTTTGAGGCGTGGAAGAAGGTTTTTTCTGGGGTTGGTTTAGTGATGACGGCCCTTGCTATTCTTGTTTCCGGAAGGCAGTGGAAGGGCCTGCTTTTGTTGTCGACTGGTCTGTGTCTCGGGGGAATTTATGTTTGTTCGGCTGTGATTGCTATGCACACGATCAATTTCATCAGGACACATAGAAGGCTGTGAACCACTTCTTTTCATCAGCTCTTTCGAGAAGGTGTGTGCTGTATTTGCTTGTTATGTTTACATCTGTATATACAATGTCCCTTTTCTTTACGTTGGACAGTATTATTTTTATTTTTTCGAAACTATTGTTATTTATAATCCGAAAAAACAGCTAGTAACAAGGTTTACACAATGGCTGCCTAAGAGCATCTCCAATGGTATGTCGATTGTAGAATTGTAGAGGCATTAGGATAGAAAACGTCTCCAGCGGTGAGTTTTTTTACATCTACATCTGATTATGTGGTATGAGAGAGACGCAAAATATCCAGGAGGCTTTCTACATCTGAAAGTCTGTCCAGACTGAATGAAATATTTTGTTTATCTTATTTATTTCTTTTCTCTTTAATTATAGTTTGTTGGTATTTATTTGTACACACTATATCAGAAGGCAAATTAATTTACATACAGAAAAATAAAAGAAAAAAATTGATACACTTCTAAATTTATATTATAAATTTTATGATATATGGTTTGTTAAAATTATAAATAAACATGCATAATATAGCAAATAAAAGAGAAAAAGAAAAAAAAATTATAGTGTTGACATGTTTTAAATATTGGTGAAATTATGATCAGTAAAATACTATTCGAAAAAAAATACTGGTGAAATTATGATCAGTACAGTTTATAGTATTTTATAGAACAACAAAAAAACATCGTGTATGGTATATACATATTTATCATTGGAGACATATTTATTAACATGTCATTCTATTCTGTACACGTGGACAGAAGGCCGTCTATTTATTGCGATATAGACAACAACCATTGGAGATGCTCTAAAAACAACTACATTATATACACGCCCACAATACTAAATATTACAAGAAAGAGTAATGTTACATTGTCAATATAGTATACAACTAGGTTGACAACACAATTAAAAAATTCAAAAATATAAAAATAAAAAAAATACACAAGTAGATGTTTTCACTTGTGTTGTCAACCTAGTTGTACACTATGTTGGTAATGTAGCATTTTATTATGAGAAATGTTACATTGCCAATCTAATGTACAACTAGGTTGACAACACAATTAAAAACATCTATAAAAATAAAAATAAAAAAATACACAAGTAGATGTTTCCCCCTTGTGTTGTCAACTTAGTTGTACACTAGGTTGGTTATGTATCATTTTTTAAATATTATATACTCCCACAAGTACATACTATATAATACACCCACAATAAAACAATAAGTTAACACACAACACAAAATACAAACTGTTAACACCACTCTAGAAACTAAAATAAAACCCTCCCCAACCACCAACAAAAGTCCAAAACAAGTCAACACTCGAAGACGGCCACTCATGAAAGACCGACCCACTCCTCCAGCTACAAATCTAGACACTCCAAACTACGACAAACTAGATCTGGACCAGACGAGCCACAACCCCATCCAATGGAACATCCCCAGAACCGCATCGTGAGACCACCGTCAGAAACCACCCAAACACCAAACCGGCAACGGCTGTCGTGCACCGAAGGAGACGACAACCCCCTTTATTAGACCCTTCCAGCCAAGACCAGGGACGGGTCGGATCCAGGGGAGCAACCCGCCGCTAGGCTCAGACCCAACCGCCACAAAAGCGACGAACAAAGCCAACGACAACGAACACGCCGCCCAATCGCGGAAACCCCAAACCCTGCCATGACCACTAAGAAAATGGATAAGTGCCACACCAGAAGGGGAACGAGGACAGGACGAGACGATCATTGACACCCCTGGTGCAGGTCGCCTCATCGGCGGTGAAGGGGGTTTGGAGGAGAGGAGGGAGACAAAATTGAAGAAGGCAAGAGCAAGAACTTAAGGATTTTTTTCCCGAGAGAAAATCTTACTTAACCTTTAGGTTCTTTACGTTGACCTTAAAAAGGTTACTCATACCTATTAGTATTTTTAATTTTTTTTTCTTGAATTAGTACTCCCGTTAGTATTTGTTTATACTTGTTGATAGAATTATAGTCTAAAATGGTGTATTTTTGTAACAGCGGACATCTTTTACATTCCATTATATTCATTGTCTTTCTTTTACACGTTCCAATAAGAAAATGATTTAGTCCTGAATTATAGTCTACCTNTTCTTCTTGTTGAACTTATTTGAATCTTATTATTTTTCTTTAAAAAATTACACTTTAATGGCTAGAAAATGTGTTAGAGTATGCGCGCACTATGGCAGTGCGTTTTTCCTAAGTAACTATGTTGGTGGTATGACAAAGATGATGTGAATAAATTGTATCCCACAAATGTATTTTGAAGTGGTTTCTTGTCAAGCATTATTAAAGATCGATCCTTGTGTTTTTGAATACATATTGTCGGCCGCATATAATGAATTCCTCACGTTACGAAGATGAAAATAGAACCTGGTGTAAAAAAATTGTGTTTTATTGCCGAGTACGGAATGAATCCCGACTTTTGGGTTGATCTCTTGAGGAAGATGGTTCGAGTTCAAGGCAATTCCCGAGCGGCCCGACTACAAAATAAATTATAATGATTGTCCGTTAAAATAATTGGTAAGGCTGATAATCTCAAGACAATCAAAAAGATCTGTTTCAATCACTATATTTAAAAAGAAAAAAAAAAGGCTTTTGCAATCAACGCGCTGGGGACGCGCCCATATTTCTCCCTCACATCTTAAGAACCAGAGCCTGCTTCTTCGCAGTTCGCAGCCCCTCCTCTGCTTGAGACTTGCCGCCACGCTACCCGAGCCGAGTTCCACCGAGTCGAAGCTAGGGCCCTTTTTTCTGCCTCTTCTGAGGCATTGCGAGAGATGGGACGGGGTTGGCACTCGCCACTACTGCCATCTCCCCTGCTAAGGTAGAGTCATCTGTCGTCAGTGCCTAGCCCCTTTAGGAGTCCACCGACCCATCGGTGTGTTTGTGTTCGTGTTCTTTAGGTTACGCGTTTGGACCCTCTTTCAATCCCTCCGACTGGATTGTCGTCGTTTTTTATTTTTGTGGCGGCTTCCTCCATCCCCGGCGTGGTAGGTTTTGGAGTCCAGATTTAAATCGAGAATTGACACTTCATCAAATCCATTTAGGTGGTGCGAGTGGCCGCAGTATTCAAGTTTGAGGTTCTGATTTGCTGCTTGGTTCGATCTCTGTATTGCAGGAAGTGGCTCATGTGCCGACTCAGGTGGTCATGCGTTATGTCTTTGTACGTTAGGTGTGCGTTTTATTTATTTATTTTTTGCTTTGTTAGTCCAACTTCGTCTGCCTTTAGAATATTTAAGTCTTATATTTTTTATAACACTTAAGCACGCCAAAGATTTATTTCAATCACTATATTTGATTTGGAAACTAACTTTAGCCAAGAAAGACAACTGCAAAATAAATTGTAATGATTCTCTATGAAAACAATTGGTAATGCTAAGATAATCTTTCCCAAAGGTCGAGACTCACTTTGCTTTCTTTCACTTCGCTTCGCTTCGTACCAAAACAAATGTACTTTACTATAAACCTTTTCCGTTTCCGGAGGTTTGCTTTTTATTTGATCTCACTTCGCTCACCTCAAGTCAAGGCTTTCCATCATAATTGAGATTCAAGGTTGAGTCGAAGAAATCCACTCGCACAGAACGAGTCGGTATGAATGAGCTAGCCTATCTATCTATCTATACTATCATAAAAGGATGAGTGATTTTGTGAAAATATGAACTGCCTAAAAACCTTTACTTTGACATATTATTAATGACAAATTAATAAATAGTAGTATGATACCCATTTTATTTTATATATATAATTAAAAAATAAATTACTTAAAAACCCTCTACTTTGACTTTTTTTTAATAACAAATTAGCAATACACTAGATAAAATAGTATGTACTTTCATATTTTATCTAACCTATACGCCTAAGAATGGAATTCTAATTATTACATGCACATACACATGTAAACCCAAAATTGCTAATCTATAGTATAATTCTTGTACACTATATGTACTTAAATTTTTATATATAGTTACGAACAAAAAGTCTAAAATATTTGTTGGAAATATTTTCAAATATTATTAAAATATTTATTATATGTCCAATATTAAAGTAGTAATTTCTAAAAGACCGAATGCTTATAAATTCTGATCAATCCTTGCTTGCTATACGCTATAAAGGTATACCTATAATCCTACCATAATTTGATCTTCGCGATCTCTCCAACTCCACTACCCAAATAGTATCCTTAAAATCGAGCAGAGCTATATCTTTGACTGTATACAGTACTACAATTGGATATATATTATTCAATTTCATTCATCCATCTCATTTTATTCTCCTTCCTCCAATCACAATTTTTTAATATATATAATTTCTAAATTAAATATCAACGATTTTATTAAATATTCATCTGTAAAATTTAGTATTCATGTAGTGACATATTTATATGTATCAATCATTGTTTAATTATTTTTACATCACATTATAATTACTTATTATTATAAAAAAAAAATGAATGGAATGAAATTGCGTTGGATAGAATACATAAGAAGGGTAGGAATATAAAGTGGACAAACCAAGACATTGAATTATTGATGTTGAGAATAGGTAAGAAGAGTAGGAAGGCAAAACACACAAGTAGTGATTATTTTTGTTGGAAATAAAACAAATCACCCCGAGGTGAGATGATGAGCATATTTGGAAAGCAACAGTCAAGTACACATGCTTGGGCGGAACCCTACTTTTTGGTCTGCAACGTCGTACATGACCTCGAATGTGGCCTTCTGATAGTTGGCGAAAATAGCATAATCCCTGGGAAAGCTTCTGAAAGCAAGGCAAATTTGCGAGGAGTTGACAGGATAAAGTGTTTGGAAAGCATCCAAAGGAGAGAAAGCCTTTGGAGGAGGAGAAAGAGGAAGGGAGGCAGTAGGAGAAAGTTCCTCCGTAGTTTGTAGCAATATTGCCAGCCCCAGAACTCCAGGGGCAAGCCCGAAATATGATCCCTGAGAGAATTGGCTACAGTATGGTTTGGTGCTATGGTAAGTTTGTCTTTGCTGAGGAATCCGGTGGTGACGGAGCCATATACGTTTATGAGGCCATAGGAGCTTTTGTTGGTTGAGGAACCACCTTTCTGGTATGTAGGAGTGTGTGCAGAGCAGTAGGTGGAATTGCAGGGGATGGCGGAGTAGGAAGTGGACTTGTCCGGGTCGAATATTGGGCCTGTCTGATTATGGCAGCCCACAACGCAGGGTTGGCATTGAGTCCACGTCAGGTCGCTGGTGGTGTCGAGAATGAGGGAGAGCTTTGTTTGTGGTGTGCCAAGGCCCGTGGTGACGATATAGTTGGCCGTGTCAAGGGAATGGCCAGAGGAGACGGGAGAGAGAATACTACCCAAGCCCAACACCTGCCTGTCGATTACTTTAACTTCAACTACAGCATCAAATTCATTTTCTGAAAGTGAACCCCAACTTTTATTTGACCAACATCATAATAACAGTGTTAATAAAAGACACGAATAATAAAATACAAACTCCATCGACGCGTCCGCCAAAATCAGACTGTTGGAGAGTGGCTATTATTAGCCTATAGGAGGAGTATGTATGCAGTATCTTTCTTTCTTCTGCCTGCCTACTTGGGTTGGATTCATTAAGACACCAGTAGCTGGCATTGAGTTATATAGAAAACATTGTCTTCAAATTTTTGATTTTTTTATTGCAAAAATATTCATTACTAAGTTGTGTTATAAGATTCATGTATAACACAGTAGGTGTTAATAATTTTATGGATCGTTTTTTAACCCCACCCGAGAATTGACCTTGAGAGGTCTCCGAGTGAGGGTAAACGGTTCGTCTGCTGACTGACCGAGTCAATTGTATAATTTGATAATTAATTTTAAAATTATATATGTAGTATTTTTATAATATAAATATAAATATATAAAAGTAAAATTAATAAATATTTTGCATATAAATTTTGTACTTCAAAGTATTAATAATATTATATCTCATAATAAATATTTACCATATATATGTAATTTTTATTTTTAAAAATAAATAAATACTTTTAAAAATATTATAGTGACTTGGTCAAACAGGATTGATGCCCGGGTTGACCTGGTCAGACCGTGTTGACCGGGTCTGGCAAGGTCGGTTGTCACTCCATTCGAGCACTCATACGGACTGGTTCCGAATCCGGTTTGACCGGTACCTGGTCGACTCACCGTACTTTCTCCCTCACATCTTAAGAACCAGAGCCCGTCTCTTCACCGTACACTGCCCCTCCTCCGATTGGATTGTCGTTTTTTTGTGGCGACTTCCTCTCTCCCCCGGCATGGTAGGTTTTTGGAGTCCAGATTTGAATCGAGAATCGACACTGCATCAAATCCATTTAGGCGGTGCGAGTGGCCGTACGTAGTATTCGAGTTTGAGGTTCTGATTTGCTGTTTTGTTGGATCTCTGTGCTGCAGGAAGTGGCTCGTGTGCTGACTCGGGTGGTCATGTGTTATGTCTATTAGGTGGTCTTAGTTTATTTGTATGTTAGATGTGCATTTTTTTTTGTTTTTGCTTTGTTAGTCCAGTCTCGTCTGGCTTTAGAGCATTGAAGTAGATGACAATTATATATATTTTTTATAACACTTAAAGCACGCCAAAGATTTATTTCAATCACTATATTTGACTTGAAAACAAACTTTAGCCAAGAAAGAAAATTACAAAATAAATGTAATGATTGTCTATGAAAACAATTGTTAAGGCTATGATAATCTCAAGACAATAAAAAAGATATGTTTCAATCACTATATTTGAAAAGAAAAAAAAAAAGCTTTTGAAACCAACGCCCTATTTCTCCCTCACATCTTAAGCACCAGAGCACGCCTCTTCACCGTACACTGCCCCTCCTCCGACTGGATTGCCGTTGTTTTTGTTTTTTGTGGCGGCTTTCTCTCTCCCCCGGCGAGGTAGGTTTTCGGAGTCCAAATTTGAATCGAGAATTGATACTGCATCAAATCCATTTAGGCGGTGCGAATGGTCGTAGTATTCAAGTTTGAGGTTCTGATTTGCTGTTTTGCTAGATCTCTGTGCGGCAAGAAGTGGCTCGTGTGCCGACTCGAGTGATCATGCGTTATGTCTATTAGGTGGTCTTATTTTATTTGTACGTTAGATGTGCATTTTTTTTTTTTTGATTTGTTAGTCCAGTCTCGTCTGGCTTTAGTGTTGGGATCTGTCAGGATCTCGTTATGTACAAATCACGAATTCAATAGCAAACGTAAACCTATGCGCAGCGGATCTAAAGGTTTTACGTAGAGAACTTACGGCTTAAAATTTATGTAGATCTGGCTGACCACGAACGGTTGACCGCAATTGATTGACCGCAAATCACGTCTTGGGTTGCACGAACAAGATCAGATCAAAATCGGATCAAACGGATGCAAACAGATCAAAACGAATTTTTGCAGTCAGGCTTCTTCCGGCGGCGCGTGAGGGCGCGTGCGGCGTCGGAATCCTACAGATCTCGTCGAGACGGTCGTCTGGGTATACTGTACGTCTCAATCGGACTTCCGGTTAGTTCTATAGGTCAAAATATATTTCGTCTCGGTTTACCTACAGATCTTCTACTGTATTACTCAATACACCCTTCTTCAACTTGTACCAGTGGAGCAACAAGAAGAAGATAAAGCATCTAGAGAGAGAGGCGTGTTTCACGTGAGATGTGAACTCTATTATCTTCTCATGAGCTTAATGATGTATATATAGAGCTACAGTAGGGATCCTAAGGAGATTAGGAAAATGACTCTTTAATTAATTAGACTAACTGTGGGCCAAGCCCACTCCTCTAATTAATTAAATAATATTAATGGGCCACCAACATTATATTATTGCACTCCCTCTTCCTAGCCCAAATTACATTTGAGACTCCAATAATAATTACTCGATTTACCTCCCCACGTTTAAGATATAATGTCTATTAATTAATTCGATTACTGACAATCAAGAATTAATTAATTTATTATTATTTCACCGAAGCTAGCGCTCGTTCATCACATTGTTATTATGCCGGAACTTAATCCACCTGCAGGGTTTAGCATAACAATCCTTCATGAACTCACTCCGGGGACATCATCAAACTGACGCACATGGTGACCGTAAATATCCTAACAGCACATCCTATATATAATAATATTACCCAAAACAGCAGGAATATTAATCCAGCGAACTGAACCTCACCCATGTGAATCAAAGTAATATATATTATATATATCTGCCTGTTTAATATCTTACGGGTTAAGAGAACGCAGTAATTAACCGAGGCCTAGTTCATTTACGACGATCAATATAAAATGAACTTCTCCTCTCTGGGATCCTGTTCAATACATAAATGTACTAGTGCAACTAATCAGTCAAGACAAACTGTACAGTTGACACTACAACCGTTCGGATGGGGTGTTCATGTCCATCTAGGTTGTGAACAACTATTCTTGTTCGCAAGTAACTGATAGAGTGATCTTCGGTTTGCCCGATGACGACCCACACTATCTAAGTGCAGAACAACATAACGTAGAACTTGTTTAATCTAACATGATTCTCATTCATAAAGGGTAAATGTGTAATAACATGCAAAGCCAAGCTTTCAGTATATAACACTAACAATCTCCCACTTATACTTAAAGCTTTCGCTTTTACAGTATAGTCCTATCAATCCGTTATTATAAAAGACCTATGTCGATCCTATCGCCACGCATCCTCTGATGCAATCTTGGCAACATCAACGCCTCCTCTACCAACGATATCCCTTCGAATCAGATGGTATTTGCGCTCTATGTGTTTGCTTGCCCTGTGGGCTCAAGGTTCTTTTGAGTTTGCTACTGCTCCACTGTTATCACAGTACACGGTGATACCACGTGGCAAACTCGGTATAACCT